CAATATTTTGTAGATTTTTATATTTCGTACCCTTATTTGCAATATATAAAATACATCAAAATTAAATATAAATATTTTTTTAAATTATTTTGCGTAGAGTATACTCTTTAGTAGACTCTCAAATAATAAGAGATATATTAAATTATTTCCCTTCACTCAAATTAAAATCTTTTTCAACTTCACCTTGTGTCAGGGGTTTGACCTGTTTTAGAAGCATACCAAATACCATTAACCGGACCATTTTTCGGATTGACACCTTCAACACCTTCAACGCCTTCTTCCATTCGGCTTGACTCAGTTCATTTGATTAAGGTGCTGCTCGTCTGTTCATGTCATTGACGTGAGCTGGAAAGGTTCTTCGTCTGCAACACGTCGTCTGACCTCATTTAAGATTTTATATCCAACATATACAATATAATAATATTTTATACAAGTTTTTGCAGCAATATTTTTTATTATTCCAAGGCAAAAAAGTATAAATATTTAATCGTATTTTATATATTTTGACTGAGCTCTAGGATCTATCTTAATCATTATTATATACAACAATTACTTTATTAAATCGAATATTCAATCAATTAAAATCTACATAGCATTAATGCATATTTTAGATTCTATAAATACAATTCCGTTTTATTTCCGAACTAAATTGAATGCATCATGCAATTTATGTGAATACCATCTAATAAATTTTCGTCATAAAAAGCCAAAAAGCAAAATATAAGAATGATGATTGTCTGTGAAATACAAAGGCTGCAGTCGAGATCTTCTTTTAGTGCGCATAAAAAGCCGCAGAAAAGTATGCTATCAATTTTGATAGGCATATGCTAAGGCTGAAGCTAAAGCCAAAGCTAAAGCATAAAAATTCAACTAGATATACTTTGTTAGCCGAAACTCTTCGGCCATAAAATACGAGGCATAATGAATGGCAAACATAAAAAACTGCTCGAAGCTTATAAATTTTAATAAGCCATATGAAAATAGTGCAGCACAAAAAAGAGACAGACAGCCAGAGCGAGAGAGAGAGAGAGATGGCAACTAGTTAAATGCACTGCTGTATATAGATACTGTGTATATATATCTATATGTATAAATGGAGATAATTATGTAGCTGGCAAACAAGTTGAACATGAATTTAATAGGCAGAACAAACGGCGCGACAGCTGTGAGTTATGCGAACTATTTTGCGCCTGCCTGTGAAATAAAATAGTGCAAAATTCTGGCAAGAAATTAAAACATTTTTGCAACCAGACAGACAGGCAGTGGTACAGACAGACGGACGGATGGACGAATGGACAGCTGGCAGACAACAACTGTGTGAGTCATGCGACGCGTTGTCGTCTGCGATGCTTTGCCAAAATAATAAAAAGTACAAGAGAAGTGGTTAAACTTGACTGGACGACTACGAAATACCCTAGAAATGAGTACATAGATATAAAAAGAAGAGATATTATTTCCTATTAGATATATATTGCTCTGTGGAAAAACCGCTTCACATCCAACCAAAGAAACTTACCCATATAGAAAATAATATATAAGTATAAAAGTTTATATCGAAGATATTTTTACTTTAAACTAATATGCCCTTCACAAATGCAAGGCGAGCAGCAAAAGCAAAAGAAACATCAACATAAATTTTAGTCAAACAAAGCGTAACGCTCATGTATTCCTTTCTTCCTCTTGGTTTATTTTTTTTTATGCACCAAGTGCGAACTTCAACTTCAGTTGCGTCCCTCTTGTGTGGAGGAGGAGGAGGGGGGAGGGGTGTCTCAAAGGGGCAGAAAGGGTAATGGCAAGTTTGTGCCATTGCCAAATGCCGAGCTGGCTGCGATTCTAATGTCGTTGTCGCTGCATGGCTAAAAATGTTGCGTTTTATAAGGCGTAAACACTCACAATGTGGCTGTGGTTACGCACACACACACACACACACACACACACACACAGACAGAGAGACACAATCACAGTCCCATACAAGCACAAGTACATGTGTAATAAGTGAGTCGGAGTGAGATGGCGCAGGCTGGCTTTTTGGCTTGCCACTGAAAAGAATGCAGCAAAAAAAATCACAGCCCCATGAAGAGCCAACAACAAGAGCAACAAAAACTCATGCGTTCGGAATGCGTTCTCTGTGCAGCTGGGGTAGCGGCAATGATTGAGAGGTGGAGAGAGGAAGAGAGGCAGAGGGAGAGCTAGCGGTTTGTCGAGACATAGCTGTAGTGGTGTCTAGTCTAGCCAACACTCTCGCACGTTCGCCTGCTCGCTGTCGCTCCCGCTCTCACTCTAGCGCGCTGCCCTCTCTCTCCAGCTGTGGCGAAATGATGCGACAAAGTATCAAATGAGGTTGCCCCAAAGCAACTGCTGCTGCCGCTGCTGCCGCTGCTGCTGCCGCTGTTTACTGCAACATAAATCAAAATCAAAGGCAAAACAGAGAAACCTACACACTTGGGTCATACTCTCCAGTTTAGAAAGAGTTGCACAGCAAGCGTGCGAGTGCGAGAAGGACAGGGAGTGAGAGAGGGAGCGAGCTAGCGTCTTGTGTGCCAAGTGTGGAACGGAAATGCAGGCATGTAAGTGAGATAGTTAGATATGTTGAAATAAACAAATTTGGCTTGCTGCATGCAATGCAAACCGAACAAATACAATAACAAAACCAAGTAGGTGGACAGCTCGAGCTCAATGTTTGCCATGCTGATAAATATGTGAGGATGTGGCACTTTTTAAGCTACTGCTGCATGGGGGAAAAATCTACAAGTAAATAGAAATAAATTGTATTTAGGCCAAATGTGACAGAAAAACTAGCCTGAGAGAGGGAGAGATAGAGAGAGAGAGAGAGAGGGGAGACGAAAGTGAAAACAATAAATCATGAATTTGTTTACTTAAAACAGTTTTTAATCTACTTCAGCTGCAATATTCATTTTAGAGGCCGCAATACATAATAAATAGAATTTTATATAGCTGACTGTAAATAAATTTATTTTGAGTTGATGGAAAAGAAAAATATAAAAGAGTTATTAAATCTCAATGGAATTTAATAAAGAGCAAATTGTTAACCTAAAAATAATTTTTTATTTTTTTTATGTTGATAAATATATTTATGTTATAAATTACTTTAAATACTTTCTGTAAAAAATGGTAATGGTAAGATTTATTATTTTTATTAAATAATAA